TGGTAGCTCTCCAATAAACACTTTTTTTTATGAGTATCATGACTTTTAGAAATTTTCAGTTAGATAATAGAATTGTTTATCCCCAGGCCTCCTTGTCAAGCTTCTTGTGTCCCAGGTTGGGAAGCCCTGTCCTAAATTCTGCATTAGACAAAGGTTAATCAGTATCACACATGTTTTAAAGGCTGGCTGTCTTGAATCAATAATGTTTATAATATTTACTGGTGATTTTTTTATACAAAGTTCCAGAACTTTCTAAGTACTTTGTAACCCTATAAAGTATTTTTTCTAACAAGTGACTTGTTATTACTACTTCAGGAAAGTGTGGGCTTTATGTTTGAGGAAAATAAGCTTCTGGGTTATTAAGTCGAGTCATTTCCTGAAGATGTAATAGCATTGTTCTGCCTAGAATTTTTAAATTGGCATAAAGCCCTTACCCTTTAGGTGCAATGCCTCAGGCAGTGAGGCAGAAGATTTTTGAAGTCCTCTTGTGATATTTTGTTTCTGTTTCATAGAGAGACCTGGCTTACATTGCTCATAGTTGGTTTTCTTGTTTTACTTTGTTTTGAACTGCTTTATTATTAAATTCCTCTACCAGTGCTCTGATCCCTGAGTCTGGGAGGGATTGAGGTAGTCCTGGGTTTAAAGTCTTTATCAGTGGAGCCTGAGGTCTGGCAGGATCTTCCAGACTGGAAGCATAGGCCCAGTTAGGGACTCTGGTGTCCATTATCTACTGACCAGCCTAGCTAAGTGAGCACAGGCTTGACCACCAAGCACTGAGGTGTTTGTGGGGGCCTCAGTGAATGCCTGGGATGGATCATCTTCATGAGCTTCAAAAGGAGCTCAACCAAGGTGGTACATGACCTTGAGCTCATGTCCAGTGGAGATCACTTGATGAAACTGGTATGGTCAGCAAAGAGAAGGGAAGACTCAAGGGTGACGTGAGAGCTGCCCACATGTGGAGGGCAGAATAGGCTTATTATATTTGGATTCAGAGGAAAGAACTGGGATCAATGAATAACTTGTTAAAGATGCAAGTTTTGGGTTGATATCGGGGGAAAGAAAACCTCCTGAATTGTTGAATAGGCAGCAAAGGGAGTTCTTTTTCTGTTACATATTAGGCTAATTGGCCATGTGATCCCTTCTAAATGGGAAATTTGGTGACCTACTGAGCCCCCAGTGGCATTGCCTCTTTATCAGTGGAAGGAGTACAGGCAGTAGTGAAAGCAGGAATTCTCAGGGTTATTTTCTTAAATCATTCTTTTTAGAAGTAAAAGGAACTGTTACAGTTATTTGTGGGTCCTGATGCCTTCTGTGAAGTGAACTATCTGTATACTGAGACACCATCGAATCCTTTCATTTGATCAAGCGTTTATAAGCATTTCTCCTACTGTAAACCAAGACTATAAGCCAAGGCATTTCCCAATAACTGTATTTGTCTTTCTATGGAACTCAAGGAAAGAATTACATCAGTATTTATCTATTGATAGCCTGGGATATTGGTTCCTTGTCACAACCCCGTGGTAAATTTGTTGTTTTTTTTTTAATTATATTTTATTTTCTCCCCTAATTACGTGCTAAAAACAATTTTTTAACTTTTGAATTCCAAATTCTATCCCTCCCTTCCCCCTGAACTCCCCCCCTTCCTGAGACAGTAAGCAATCTAATATAGTTTATACATTGCAATCATGTAAAACATTTCCATATTAGTCATTTTGTACAAAAAGACTCAAGAAAGAGAGAGAGAGAAACAAAGAAAGAAAGAAGGGGAGAAAGAAAGAAAAGAAGGAAGGAAGGAAAAGAGCATTCTTCAGTTTGTATTTAGTTAGTATCAGTTCTTCCTCCGGAGATGGATGGCGTGTTTCATCATGAATCCTTTGGGATTGTCTTGGATCACTGTACTGTTGAGAATAGCGAAGTCATTCAGTTCTTTATCGTACAATATTGCTGTTACCCCACAGTAAACCCGTAAGCAGTAGGCTTATCTCCAAACTTTCTCCAAACTTTTTTTTTATTTGGACTGGAATTCAAAAAGGAGACTGATTTGTAAATGAGTATGTATATCAGGACACAAATAGCTTGTCAGCTTTGGTCAGCCTCTTGAATTCATTGAACAAATGAAGTTTTTACCTGGTGTCCATTGACACTCCTCAGAGGTTGGTGACAGCTAAGCATTTGCAGCTAACTTGTTTGTAACCTCTCTAATGCAAAGGAATGTAGTCAGCCCTATTACAGCTTCCATTTCATTGCCTGGCTGTTTGATCAGACTAGTAATTTGGATATAACTTGGATATGGCTTTTTGGTGGTACAATTTTTTTCTTTCCAGCAAAAATCTAATTGGGTAGAATTGAAAATAGTAAGTACTCGAATACCTTTCCTGATTCTCCTTAATGCTAATATCTCCCCTGCATGGATTAGCTCCAAGTTATCCTGTATATACTAGTTTGTGCATAGTTGTTTGTGTGTTGTTTAGACTGGGAGCCCCTCGAGAGTGGGGACTGTCTTTTGCCTTTCTTTGTATCCTCGGCATTTACACAATATCTGGCACATAGTAGGCACCTAATAAATTGACTGACTGTGTAAGGTTGTTCTGTCTGCATTCACAGGTTGTCTTACCCCTATCGTATCACGCTAGTTGCACTTTTCCAATCCATAATCATGGCGCCTTCATTCTGAGACTACTCCCTATTTATTCTGTATGTATCTTGTTTGTACACAGTTGTTTGCGTGTTGTTTCCCTTAGATAGTGAACTCCTCGAGAGGAAGGTCCATCTGCTGCATTTCCGCAGCCTTAGCCTAGTCTTGGGCACATTTTGTTGTTGTGCAGTCATTATTCAGTCATGTCCGACTCTTCGTGACCCCATTTGGGGTTTTCTTGGCAGAGATACTGGAGTGGCTGGCCATTTTCTTCCAAGTGCCGGGCAGTCTGCTAAGTGCTTTACAAATATCCCATCTGATCATCACAAAAATCTGAGAAGTGCTATTATCATCCCCATTTGCAGATGAGAAAACTGAGGCAGACCATGGTTAGGTGACTTGCCCAGGGTCACACAACTACTAGGCTTCACTTTCATGTTTTCTGGACTTCCACCCACTGCACCAGCTAGCCACATAGAAAAAGAGATCCTAATGCTGTGGATGTCAGTCAGAAGTTATTTGATTGGCTCCT